GGGGGTCGGGGGGGTCTAACACAGATCACAAGTGTGAGTATCATTGTCTTAAAATACAATCTTATACAAATCACAATTGTTACATAGCATGTCAAGTTCGGGAATAAAATCTAGAACAAGTCACAAGGTGTAACCTATCAAGTAGCCTGTAACCTTATCGAAGAAATGTCCAACAAAAACGCAGTTTATTAACTAGGATCGTTTTTCCGAAGAGGAACTTTCATGGGGCATACAAATCTCTCAAGCATTACACATTGTATGCTCTTACGTTAAATACGTTTTGTGTAATTGCCATTTTGTTGTAATTATTGCACATTTTTATTTCCACCACATGTGATGTGAATCTTTGGTTCAATTTGGTATCTAATATAAATGAAATCTAACTTTTTCAATTCTTTATTGATCGACTTTTTGTGTTTGAACAATACGTATTTACGTCTGTACATGAACAATTGACTCGAGTGTAACGATATGTACTTAAAGTGTGCCTAATTATGTGAAAACATGTGTTGTTATATTAGGATGAATGCTACTCTTCTTTATTTCTAGAAACCTTTCTTCTGGGATACCAAGTACTGCTGGATAGGTTGCAGTAAACATGTAAGTATAAAACATACCACTGGCTATGTTTCCGTACGAATGAAATCTCGTTTTATTGAGTGTAACGTCCAATTAATAGTCGACGTCATTAAAGGACGTGCCTTTATGTGTTATGTATACGTATATATGTGTGTATACAACTGTATATGCTGGAGGAGGTATGTTGATGTATTCACCTGCCTGCGATAGCGTGGATCTGATGCCTACTTTAGAGTGTTACATCACTGCAATACCATGCCCAAGGCACCCTACTGATCAGTATTCCGTCCGATCATATTATACTGACAACAGGAAACCAGTTGTTGCTTCACCCTAAATGCTTACCTATAAGCGAGAAATAACAAGTACTATTTTGAATTACTTCGGTATATCCCGATCTGGGGACATAACTCATTGCCCACCCCACTTGGATAAACGCTAAGCACAAGACAATATGTGAGATGTTGCCATGCAAGACACTAGGAAACTCAAAGGTTGTTAGGAATCAGACGGAAAAATGATAATAATTGGTTATGTTCCCGTACAAACGAAGTCAGAGAACTGTTGTTTATCCTTTTTATTACATAAAGCACTGCGTATCCAGTAAATATATACCCATGTCATATTGTTTTGCGTATTAACCCATGTAATATGACCTATCAGCCCTGTAATTTGTTATTGTAAATTTTAATTGTTTCAATTGTGACGTCACGCCTAGGACAAGAACATGACGTCACAGATTTACGCACTGGAGTCAAAATGTCGGCTTTTTGCATTTCAGGGTCGCATGACAATTGTTGTTTTACGCGAATAAATGCCACAAATCTTTATTATAGGATAAACAGTGTCTTACACGTGTTTTCATTTCATATGAAATTTATGAAACTCGTCAAGAATTTTTCATTTTAGCTTACCAGAGGCTCGCTAAATAGAAAGTTCTGAGACTCGTTTCTTAAAACTTATGTAAGATCCTATATAAGTCATTTAAAGTGTAAATGCTGTTACGTATGATTAAATTATTATAGTTATTAAGACGCGAAACACAACCAAAACCCTTTACTTCACCATCGATGAGTTGGATATATTTTATTACAACATGTTTTCCATTATGAACCATAGTACTTCATGACAGAGTGTGATACTATCAGCTGTGTTTGATACTATAAGCTGTGTATGACAGAGTGTGATACTATAAGCTGTGTTTGATACTATAAGCTGTGTGTGATACTATAAGCTGTGTTTGACAGAGTGTGATACTATAAGCTGTGTTTGACAGAGTGTGATACTAT